AGAGAAAGCTCTTATAAACCATTGTGAAACTTGCAGTTTCACTTGACTTTTCAACAGCTTTCGACTAAATCTGGCAAAAAAGCATTTCTTGCAAGCCAGCTATCATATATTACCTGTTATTATAACTAATTTTGTCGACGTTTATCAGGGGCATAAAATAGGCAGCCTCTTAATACTTTATATAATATCTTTTTAATACTTTGTAGTACACAATTTGGAGAGTACATATATGAATAACACAATCTAATCCCTCTATTCCTTTTCATCATTGGGTAACCAGACACATGGCGGCACTTCATCCTTTCATTGTAGAACTTTCTTGAATTCATCTTGAATTCATATTGCTTCATCTAAGCAGTATGCTTCCTTTGAACTTATGACCAAAGAATTGGAATAATTTGAAGCGTCTGAAATTCTTTCCACTTACATTTTTGAGTATCTTCGGGATAAGAGTAAATGGGGCTTTAACTAGATTAATGAGTATATCACTTTCGGATTAATTTCTGAATAACTATTATGAAGCACATTTCAGTTTGTATAAACAAAAAGTATAATTATTTTCCGTTGTCACTTTACATAATATTAATTTACTGCTCCCTGAACACTGATCAAAATTTAATAATAATCAGAAAAAATTGAAATTCAAGTATTTTTTTTTATTATCTTGCTAATTATTGCTTATTTATGCTTATTTATATTATAAATATATTTTATTTTTAATCATCATACAAACAATATTTTACAAAGTTTATACTCAATTATGTAAAGATTATACTTACGGATAAATAAAGCCCTCAGCTAATACGACATTTCGAATAATTCGACATTAATAATTCTTGTTCCAACATTGACATTACACAATCTGTAACATAAAAAAATTAAAAATTTTCAAATTCTATCTAAATCATCCATCCAAACGCTGAACATCGAATACACTCCTTTATAAATGTCGATGGCACAGAAATATATTTTTAAGATGTCATAAAATTACGTATTTCCTGGAAGTATAATATGAACAGGTCATTAGGAATCACTGCTGTGTTTAACACAACACGTAAACTTCCGTCAAATAACAATGTGGAAAGTTTTAGACTACAATTTTCATAAATATTACGTTACTTCATAATTGGGTGTACGGAATTTACTTTATGATTTCGTGTATGAGTAGCATAAATGTAATTGTTTAAATATTGCTTTTGATATTTTAACATTGTTAATGACATTTTAATTGAATCAAAGTGTATTTTTTTTTCTTTCGCCAATAATAATATAATTTACGATTTAATAATGAAAACTTTAATGGTAAATTGGTATCTAAACGCTGAGATACAAAAATATAAAAATTAATAATAATAAAAATTGCAAAAGTTTGTCGATAGTCAATAGACAGCAGCATGTATGATTGGTTCTGGCAGGTTAACACCTAGTATTCTTCCTTTTCCAATCAGAATTTTCCCTGCCTGTTTTCCTTAAACTGCCATAGAATTGTATAGTACTGGTGGAACATTAAAATTATGCTGTCAGGTCAGCCGCAGTTACTTAAGATTCTACCTCAGGAGGACCGATCAATTTTTTCTACAATATTATATAAGAAACAGTATAAAAACAAAAAAAAGATAGTATTAAAATAATCTCTTGAATCTCTTCTTAATCAACACAACACGCAATAAAAATAATATGGTTACCATTTGTTATTCAGTCATACATATTGCTATAACCACTTTTTATCCATAAAGCTAATTATTATTTGAAATTTATACCAACACAGGAACCACTTATTAAAAATAAGGTGGATTGCAAGGCTCGGCTATTTCATATTGATTAGCGTGACACATTAAAATTACTGGGGACTTGAACACCAACTGTTAGGTAAACGATACTAAGGCATTTAACGACTATTTTATGAGCCACCGGAGCCAGTCTGACTCAATGTCGGTTGTCTGAAGTATTTTGAAACCGAAACTACCGTTTGTGGCTTAGCATCTCGAGTCGTTATAAGAGAGCAAATAGGTCGTAATAAAAGAATACAATAAGTCACGACAATTACAATATCCACTCTATATAATTGGCATTCAAGTACGCGTTTATTTTAATAGAAGTCATGAAGATGTTTGAGACAATCCAGTAATAAGCATATTTCATCACAACTGTGATCTACGAGAACATAAAAAGTTAATTATGATGGTATCTTTTAAGTAAATTAAAAAATGTGTTGAAATCTTTTGTTTCCTTCTCCATTAACACACTCAAACTTAGCAAATGCACTAAAGATAATGTCTCCATAAATAACTTTTTTCATTGCCATTATAAAGGACAGTGTCTAAATATTTAAGAAGAAATTTTATTAAAGAAATGAAATTTCGTTGTATTAAGAGTAAGATGAAAATTTCAACATAAGTGCAGTGAACGTTTGAGGTAAAATTCTCAGTCGAGAATTTCCTTTGAATCATTTGATTAAACGAAATGCAGGACACTCATTTTTCTTGAAATTGAATAAAATTTATAATATATTCCTAACTTTTATTAAATTGACACTTAAGGGAAAAAAATAGTAGTAAAAGTTTTTAAAGGTCCGTTTTTCTAGATTATTAATAAAATATTTTATATTTATAGCAAAAATTTAGATTTGAAATGTAAAGAAAAATATAGACCAGCCGAAAAAAAAAATCAAAGAATTTTTCGATGAACTTTACTCTAAAAGAATCGAGACAAAACACGGTAAACATCATCCAAAACGTATATAAAACTTCCATGATTATATTATATTAGAAATTCTTTTAAAAATTTATAATTACTTCATAAAATAGTTAGCTTAAAACATAATATTATTTTGATTTGAAAATTATAACAAGTGAATTTCTTTATAATCATCAGATTAACAGTTTTCATACTAAAATTACCAACAGTAAAACTCATCAATATAAAGATTTTTGCAAACTTGTCTTATTAAATGAAAGAGCTTCCGTTACTTAATCAAAAATAGGATTAAGGAAACTCGGCTGTTAAACAGACAATCATCTATCGAAATCTAAAAATAAGATAATATTTAATCATAAAGATGATATTTCATCGTCTGTTTTCATTAGATTTTCCGGCCCATGGATCTTCCAAACAATAATTACGATAGATATCGTTGTTTGTTCTCGATGGCTGCCAGAATTACTGTTTGTTCACAATAAATTTACGAGATGTTTTTCAACCCCTCGTGACGCAATAGGCAATAAGAGGCGTTGGCCCAACTATAATAGTTGATTTTTACTTCGATATCCCTAACTATTCTATCCTATATTTACGGAACATTATCTGACTCTAGAAAAATGTACAATCTTTTATGATTATAATTATATGTATATAGAAAACTTGATATGTGACTTATAGCCAAATTCTTACAAAAGATAAATGTATGTATGTATGTGGTATACAAATATAAAAAGTAATCGCAACAATAACAGTCCGTATAAAAATAAGTAGAATAATCATGGCACAAAAACTTTCCAGCAAAGTTCAACCAATTGTAGTAACCGTGATGTTTGCTTTGGGCCGTTAAAGTTTCGCAGACGATCAGCCTACTGCGTAAAAACAAGTTACAGTATGCAAATAACATTGTGAATGTTGTCACAAATTTTCCTACAAAGTTATGCAATTCTTCAAGCGTATTTTGAATATTCTCCCTTTTGTAAAGTTTTAAAACAAATATAAACACGTTAACAAGTTGTGTCTCTGTGATGTAACTTGCTGTTTGGACAAATTGAAAATATTATTTCTGTTTTTTCTATTTTCTTTTCATAACAGATTTTGTTGAATTGATATGTATTTTAGTATAAAACCATGATATAAAGTTAAGATCTTATTTCGATTTCATTTTCTTAGTTATATTCAGTTTATTAAAAGCCGATGTTTTATAACATTTTCACTGTAATAACCCATTCATTTCGGTGAATAAATAGGAACTTTCATAAAAAATATTGATTTAAAATGACGTTGTTTTTCATGTTTTATTTAAAAATATAAATAAACATTTCACCCATATTTTTAAATGCTTCTTTGTGTCTAGAATTGACAATTAAAATATTTCGATTATAACGAACTAAAGTCATGTATTAAAAAAAAATTTTTTTAAATTCATTATGAGTAAAGATATGTTATATTGAAATGTGATTTTTTAAATTAAAAGAGCTATGATGTTTGCTTGTTTATTTGAATTGACATTTGGCAATTCACTAGGACAAAGCCTCAAGCATACTCCACAAAGCATGAATAGCCCAAGGGTTTTTAATCCAAAAATTGACGAGTAAAAAATTACAAGATGAAAAATGTATTGTAATTCAATATTAAAATGGAAGAACAGCATCTGTTAATCAATCGTAATAATCCGCTGGGATTAAATGAAAATCGTAACACTACAGCGAAATCCTAATTAAGCCGAGTTCGGTAATGAATGCTGGCGGCCATAATGAAATGTGCATGTTAAGAGTCGGCCTAAATGGCCCGGACTTTTGTTTACGAATAAAATAATATGAATATTTATATATATGTACTTGATTTGATTAAGTAATGTTTTTAATGTAAATAGCTTTATCAGTATCTGTAAGAGAATTAAATCCTTATGTACTTTTGTCACTGAGGGTTTCAAGATTTAACAAGCCCGTTATAATCTTATATCCCATTAACCTGTCCTTTTATAGGAAAAAAATGAGCAGCCAAAAGGATTATTATCAGCGAAATGCATTATTAATCATCATGCTCTTCAAGTGTACTTTTTTTATTTAAATTATTATTTTGTGTTAAATAAAATACAATATAATAATATAAATAAGAAATATGATATTATTTTTATGAGACTTATATAACCTATGGAAAGGTAAAAATATGCGCACTTTATAAGGTCGTATTTATAAAATATCGTATTAATTTCCTTCAGCAAAATATTCTTGTATAATATGTTATACACGTATAAGAATAATTTAATATTTGTTTTATAATCCTTAACTCCATTGTACATGGTTTGAAAGAATATCGATGTTGATAATATTACTGAACTGCGTGACGTTGGGCATGTACCAGCCCTGTGTGGACGACCAGTGCGTTACCAACAGGTGCAAGATATTACAGGTACGTCTTAAACAATATTATTTAAAACAACACTTTATATACAGGTAAAAAAATTAATTTAATACAATGACAAAATGTGGTCCAAATTGATATGATTCATCTATTTTTGAGAATTTCTTAATTATATTAAAAATCATAATAACCATTTAAAAAAAAATTGTTGTATTATAAATATATATAACTTCGATCCTTATACATCAAAGGTATATTTTTGACGCTCAGTTATTGTCGAGATAAATGTGATAAGATTGTATTCAAATCGGTGAATATTTTGCCAAACATTTTATTACCACTTCATTTCTATTTACTTTTTTTTAAGCAACATTAATTGACAGTTGATTGGCATATAAATAAAAGTGAATCGAGTATTTGTCGATTTAACAAAGGTTCTAAATAAAATGGAGCTTTCAAATAAATATATACTTTTATGTGTTTGTTTGTGGTAAACTTTAGAGTAAGCATGATTTCAGGTTTTTGATGACATCATATTCGCATTCTTTACACTTGAATTGACGATTAAAATGGTGGCTATGGGAATCTACGGTCATGGAACATACCTGGCAGATTCTTGGAACCGATTGGATTTCTTTATAGTAATGGCTGGGTAAGCTGTTATCATAAAAGCTATCATCAAATAGATTATAACTTTTTATTATTACTTTACATTCTAAGAGTTTTTGTTCCACTTAAATAAAATTAAATTATGCTCAAGTTTCTAAAGAAGCATATTTTTTGTCGTTTGCTCCTAATAAATTAATTAATTTGCACCTAAGTTAACAATAAAAAATACTGAAAAAAAAATCACCAGCAGACAACCATGAAATACTTTATAATAAAACAAATATATGTATAATCGTATTTTAGTTTTTTTATACACTTAATGAATTGTTTTGATGTCAAGAACAGACATTAATCTCTTTTATATCTTTATCTTTATCGCCAAATAGTCTCACAAGAATGTTACAATAAATCTTAAATCAATTTCAGGGCTCTAGAATATGCTTTGAACGTTGAAAATATAAATTTATCTGCTATTAGAACCATCCGAGTTCTAAGGCCCCTGAGAGCTATTAACAGGATACCGAGTGAGTATAACAAGATAAAATATTTTTTGGATGGATCTTAATATTTCTTAGGTTAAGCTCATCTATTATATAGTATAAGATTATAAATCGCTATAAAAGACTTCTTATATAATACGTATAAAAAATATATAACATCTAAAAATTATTATAGAAAACAAAGTTTTGCTTTAAAAATAAAAAATAAACGTAAATAGTCTAAAGTAAAAGTACTTCAGAAAATCCTTGATAACTCTTTATACAAATTCAATTAAACTATATATATTGCGACAGCAATTTTACCTTTACAAACACGGTTATCTGGTCGAACAAGCAATTTGCCTGGTTTGTAGGAAATCCCTGTCGAAGCACTTACAGAAATTAGCCCCGAACAAAAATTGGAAACGTTGGACGCGGATCGATGCGCAACAAGTGAGACGGGTTTTCAGAATATTAGATCGCGTCAGGCGTTCTAGAGACAAAATTTACATAGTACCTGAAAAGCCATGTTGCTGTAAGACATGATGTAATTGAGTGCCACGTTGATTTGGTTGTTCATCAATAAATAAAAACTGTGGCATAAATTAAAGTACATCTTTCTCATGCTATTTTATTTAAATATAAAATTCGCTTAGATTATAAAATAACAATAAGCAAATAATGAAAACTAATGTCATGAAAACATAAACCTTAGCAGTCCATAATTCTAAAATATAAAAGTTTTAAATAAAATAAACGTTCAATACAAAGCCTATTAGTGAAAGTATTGTTATTGATAGTTTATTACACACATAATACATATTACTCTTCTTAAAAAATATATCAATTATTATAACTAACCATTACTTTTGTTTATTATTTTTTTCTCATATCTAAACACAATAGATATTTTCTTTTTTAACTATAAACATTATAATAAAAACCTAGACTGAAAATAAAATAAAACAGAAAACAGAAAAAAAACAGATTTCGAGCAATATTTTAACGTTATCTAAAAACCCTCAAACCCTAACACGCATGTTGCGGTTAAACGTACTGACAATAAATATTTAAATATCGTTGAAATGCCCGCAATCAACAGTTGATATAATATATAATAGAATAAAAGGTAGAGATTTAATTAGAAAGTCATATTATTTATTAGACATTCCAACACAGGATACTTATAGCCGTAAATAACTCATAAATAACGTAATCATATTGTGGCTAAAATGATTTATCATCCTTCTAGAAAGACAGCGTTACTATCAGTATTATGTAAAAGGATGTTGTAAGGATATCTAATGTTACTAAAATAATAATATATATGTATTTAACAAAATAACATTTTCAACTGTTTAGGTAAAATGTTAATTCATTTATTAAGTGTAACATTTAAGTGGCATCGAATTCAAAATAAAAGCTAAGGTTAATATATCACGCAATCTATATTACTATGAAGTATCGATAAAACTCTGAACTTAATGAGTACTCCTAGACACGGAATACCTTTTTTACATAAATATTTATAATACGGAAGGTCTATGGGTAACGCAAATAAAGCCAGTGATAAATCTAATAAGACGTAAAGTTAATATCATATGTAATATTTTAAATAGTTCTTATTTAACTATTCCTAATCGTCTGCCTTAGTATAAAGTTGTATTTTACTTTGTTGTTGTTTACTATCATCAATATAAAAAAAATAGGAATATTTTATTAAATAAAAATAATTGGTTAAATTTTTAAATTAAAAGAACAATTGCTATCTTTAATAACGCTAGTTGTAAAGGTTATTTGCATTCAAATGTTAGAGGGTAAAATTCGTCTATACGAATGAGTGTCGACACTTGTCTAACAATGTCTAACAACCCACGATTTAATTTGCGGTTCAGTTGCAATGTCCCCTTTGTTTGTGAATCTCAAATGGGTTTGGAAGTGCACCATCTGTCCAATGAATATTATGAGAGATTTCAGTAATTTATAATCAGGTTATGTTGTTAAAAATATTTAAACTATTTTAATAACATGTATAAATTATATTTATTTCTACATACTTGATTATACTGGAAAATTATATAGGCATATTTTTATTATTATGAATAATAAAATATGATAAAATATTACACGTGTATTTTTATATATAGAAAGACGCTATTCTGGATTTTCAAACTAACCAAAAGTGGTTCTGAAAACCATTTTTGAGTTTATGCTTGCCTAATTTTCAATAAACTTCAATTTTACCGTCAGAATAAATATTGAAAACTGATTATGTTTAGGGGAAATGAACACTTTGTAATTTAAATATTTGTCAATTTATTTAGGTTTTCTGAGTTTAACGGCTGTGTGAATGTTAATAAATTTATAAAAAAAACAGCTATTTTATTAGATTTTTTAAATTTCCTACCTAGTATATTAAAACTTTATGAAGAAAAGAAATCTATTTTTAAACGGAATTATTTTTTAAAGTAGGAAACCCTACATTCAATATGGGTCTTGCGTACGTCACTAGTTGGAAAATCATTAAATATTTACACGACTGACATAGAATGAATAATCTATTGCTGTATAATCTATGCGACATACAGAATAGAAAATCAAATGCTTAATTGCATAATATGATTGCACAAAAAAAAACAAATGTTACTGCCGTCTTGTTAAGAATATTCTGATGTGGATAGAAGTATGTATGTAATTATATATTTTTTTCACAGGTATGCGCATTCTAGTGATGTTACTTCTCGACACGTTACCGATGTTAGGAAATGTTCTTCTTCTGTGCTTCTTTGTTTTCTTCATATTCGGTATAGTTGGAGTACAGCTCTGGGAAGGAATTCTGAGGCAGCGCTGCGAACTTGTCCTGCCACCTAACGTACTACGACCCAAGTATGTAATTATTAAATTGCGAGTACTTAAAAATGTTGAAAATAAAACATTGAACCAAATACTATTATTTAGACTTATCCAGTATTGCATCATCAAGTTTGCAATTTTGAATGCAGAATTTAATCCATTGAATATTAAAATAGAATATGAATTACAGTGCCTTGAATAAAATAGCAGTGAAATTACTTTTTTATTTGTACCATTTGCTCGAGAGTGCTCGTTTTAGAGTCACGTCACATTGCTAACGTTGACTGCATGCAATATTTAACGCTTCACAAAAGCACAAGTTATTAATTACTATAATTCATTACCGGTTTCTACACTAACACAGACGCGCATGTTTAAAATGCTTATATTCCACACGTTAATATTGCATTCCGTCAATACTCACACGAGACCCCAGTTTGAAAAAACACGCATGACGATTGTTATAACAATGCTAGAATACGCATGAGGTCAATGTCATACATGTTTCACATACTACAAATGGAAACATATACAATTATGAAGCATCATAATCCGATATAGATAAAAAGTGAACTCATGAAGAAATACCTATGTAGCTAAAGCTGCTTTGACGTATGAAGTAATAAATATGATTTTTTAGATACGTTTTTAGCAGGAATACATAACCATTCACATGAAACACAACATCGTCATCTCTCCTTCAATTTGTTTTCCAGAGACCTGTCAGAATGGTACAGAGTGCGCGTCAGAGTGAACTCGTAAGAATTTTAGATAAAAATAAGTGTTTCTATTGAAAATATTGAATTCTTTGTATCGTGAACCTCTACACATCGGCCGTCCAGATGTGCTATTTCTGCTTTCCTATATAAACTGGCAGTTTTATAATCGACACTGAATATTCATACAAATCACTATGATCCTCAATCACTCCGATCACTAACTTCACCAACATCGCATCAACATGAATACAGAACTGCCAGTTTTATACTTAAATTGTCATCGATATAGGTTGCTCTTATTTTTTACAAAATACTCTTAAGGTCATTATTTTTTTATCCTCACATTCACCAATACATCAAAAAATCTTGTACCATTAACTTCATTTAAAAACATTTTCATATTTATGACTAGAAGTTCTAAAAAACTTATTCATATTATGATTACGAATAAGAAACCGATAACATTTTGGAAGTTCTAACTTAACGGTTGGTAATAATAACCATTTCATTTATCTCACAATCAATAATATATGTCTAGTCCACACTACGCTCATTTACACAAAAAATAAAAGCACAATAGGGGCCTAATAGCTGTCATCAAGGGCAGAAGTACAATAACCGGGGTGAGCCCAAATTAGGGGTCCCAAGGCCCATGTACTACCGGTTAAATGATAATTACCCACTGGCCATTTGCGTTAATCTTCTCCAACCTTCATGTTCATCTGGAACTCTTAGAACTCCTATATAATCTTACACACGGTTAGGTAGCTAATTATTTTCACCAATTAATCCTTTCCCGCTTTTATTGTCTGCATGCATTCCTAATTTGCTATAGAATATTTTATGCTCGCATGAAATATAATACCTGTGGGAAATATTGAGCTTTAAATAGCATTTATTCTGTTTATAAATTCATTTATTAATTTATATTTATATATTTTATGTACCTAGATGTATTTATTTATTTATATAAGTCATTTTACCACCCGATCGTCATTAACGCCTAAATTTCGTTTAGAGACTTGAAAATAACAGTTTTTATAACCTTTTCACAAACAAATAGTAACATTTAAATTAATATCAAATGATTTAATAATTTACGAGTATTATGAATAAACTTATCTTATATCGGTAAAATAAAATCTCGGCTTTAGTTCTTTTTATTTATCGACAAATTTAGATTCGTTAAGTCTTATATATTCTTATGTTTAACAAAATGAATAGTTACAAGATCTGTTTTATTATGTAGCATATCGTTTCACTACGAGTTCTCGAAAGAGTTGGACTACATCTGTACGACGCCGGAAGATAGCGGTATGCATTTATGTGGAAACTTCCCTCCTTACCGATATGGACCGTTAGTCTGCAACGACACAGCGAAACCATTCTCATACAACTACCCGACAAACAACTCATGTGTTGACTGGAATCAATACTATACCAATTGCACCCAGCGTGGTCCCAATCCATTCCAAGGAACAATATCTTTCGATAACATAGGACTTGCATGGGTAGCTATATTTTTGGTAAGTATAGATAATTTATAATTGATTATTTTCACATTTGTTTACTACGATTTTATGTTGATTTATCTTTTAGGTTATATCTTTGGAAGGATGGACGGATATTATGTATTATGTGCAAGACGCACATAGTTTCTGGGATTGGATATATTTCGTTCTTTTAATTGTTGTAAGTTTTCTAGAATATTGATTACTTCTATTATTTTAAACGCTAATACAGTTCCATTATTGAAGCTTTTGTTTTCTTATAGATCGGTTCATTTTTCATGATCAATTTGTGCCTGGTCGTAATAGCGACTCAATTCAGTGAAACAAAGAAACGAGAAATGGAGAGAATGCGAGCTGAACGGGCTCGTTTTACGTCGTCTTCGACTTTAGCCTCGTCTACAAACAATAGCGAACCAGCCACTTGTTATGCTGAAATAGTCAAGTATGTCGCGCATTTGTGGAGACGATTCAAACGACGAATGGCTAAAAAGATCAGGTAAAATATGTTTTGTTCAATTATTTTACATGTTGTAGTTTTTTCACAACAAAAATTCAAATGTTTTCTATATTGTTTCCTTTATTATAAAATATACAAAGTGGTGGTTTTATATGTTTAAATATTTTTTTACTGTTTTATAATATTTTTTAAGAGTATATAAATATCAACGGGCTCAACTTAAATGGAGGACCAGCCAAGAAACTCTTCAATTGCCTGCTAATCGTCCAAAACAACACCATCCATGTTGCCCCCGTGTCCACGTTCAGGTATGTTTAGTTATTTACATTTGATATCAAATAACGACAATACATTATAAAACTAAATCCATAATGCTTTACAAATAAGGGTAATGGAAAAGGAATCTCTGAAGAGGTTGGTGATGAACCTCTAAGCAGGCCGAGTTTATTACGAGTTCCTTCGCTATCGGCTGCCGATCTTGAGGTAATGTTTCTGATTTTAAATAATATCACGAAATATATATCACCAATAACTTTATTAGAATATTAAATAAAATAGGAGATAACTTCTCGTAAGTATTTTCAAAATTTTCTTATATTACTTGTTTCTTATATTATAAGTATAAACTTGTTATATTTTTTCATATAATAACTATAAATCACACTGTTTTGTGTATCTAGAACGCATCAAACCTGTCGTTGCTGTCGCCTCCATCACTAGCTCGAAGACGTTCCTCCGTAATGTTCAGTGATACAGTGCTGCTTCATGTACCGAATGCTCAACATCTAGCTCATCCCCACAACGTATGCTCTTCGGAAAAGATGACCCAAACAGGTAACTTCTTTACCAACAAGAGATATATTCCTTAAATAAAATTTTACGCTGTATTGAAACTTCATTCATCACTCATGCTCTTTGTCGTTCAAATCTTCGATTCTACGACTTTATAACCAATTCAAATATTTGTAGATTCATTGTGTCAACGTGACTGGCTTAAGTGCCAAAGTGGTGAGTCTAGGATGGTAGATCTAGACACGCTGATAGAGCGGCATGCGCTATTAAATCTACTCTCACTTTTCTTCCACTTCTTAGAAATGTTAGGTCCTAAAATTAGCAAATTTCCTTAGAATTAATCGGATTTAGTTTATTCTAGGTAAGAACAGGTACATACATGTGTTGATTAATAAAAGGAATAAGCAATGTGTTATTCTTTTTCAGTCAAAAGATTCCAGTTTACTAATATTAGATAGTGTGGATACTTTACTATGGAGACGTATTTCATAATACGATTATTGTTATGCTTAGTAATTAGATATAAAATTTTTGAGTGTTGTGAAATGTAATGAATAAATGTTAGTACAACAAATAAATCTCATAGTGACATAACATATCACATTTATTTTATAGCAGTGATACACTTTAAACACGTGATATTCTGATACATATATCAATTATTTCAAAAGTTCTGATGATTTTTTTGGATGCATAGAATTTGACTTGCCACCCGGAGAAACTGCAGAAGATCGGGCCGCAGCTGGAGGGACAATGTCTTGTCAAGAATTGTTAGCATTATCAGGTGCACTATCAGCTGCTCTACCAACAGGCCAAGTAGCATTGGATACATTTTTTGAAGAACTGACGAAAGGAATGAGCAAAAGAGCCGGTGAAGATAAAATGGAAACTAAGGTAAGGTATCGTTAATATTTTTAAAAGTATTTTTGTATATATCTATAAATTATTTCATTATCAGGACTTTTGCAGATCGTTGAAATAGAAGATTTTTCATGCTGCGCAGAACTAATAGCCGCCGAGGCCGCTGCCACAGAAAAGAAAAAAGGCCGAATTGCAAACGCTTGCATCAAATTGTGGCGAAGAATATTGAAATTCTTTTCATTGTTACGGAAACATATTAAAACCATTGTTAACCATAAATATTTCCAACAAGGTATAGATTTAAAAAAACATTTTTTATATACATATGAATTCATTATAAATGCATGTATGTATATATTGTTTATTTGTTCTTTAGGTATTTTGCTGGCTATATTAATTAACACGCTGTCGATGGGAATAGAGTACCACAATCAACCTCAAGAATTGACAGTGATTGTGGAGATCAGCAACGTTGTATTTTCTGGAATCTTTGCTGTTGAAATGCTTCTCAAAATTATTGCAGAAGGGCCCTTTAAGTATATATCCAATGGTTTTAACGTTTTCGACGGCGTTATTGTAATTTTAAGGCAAGTATAAAAACAAAAAGATTATTTATAATTAAATTTAATTTTACATGATATAATTTTTCTTAAATAGTGCATTCGAGTTAGCTCAGAGTATGGGGAACGAACATGATTTGGCTGGAAGTTCAGGCTTATCTGTTTTACGTACATTTCGACTTCTACGCATACTTAAGCTGGTACGATTTATGCCCAACTTAAGAAGACAACTGTTCGTTATGCTGAGGACCATGGATAATGTTGCCGTGTTTTTTTCGCTGCTGGTTCTTTTTATTTTTATATTCAGGTAAATATCTAACATTAAGATATTACAAATTGTGACTTCGGTACCAAATACGACATTAAAGGGATAGAGTATTTTGGAATAGGTAAAGGTATAGGTTATAAAATTTATAACTAAACAAATTAATTAAAATGCATGATTTAAATTTTGTTATTTATTTTTAAAAATATTTTAATTATGTTTAAAACCTTTTTTTTTTACTTTTTGTTTCTTCGCTTTTATTTCGGATATTTATTTTTACTTTCCTATTTCTTTTACTGCTTAAACAAAATATATATTTTTTAAACTTTTGTTACAAACTGCAATAGCAATATTTATTTAAAATACTTCAATTAACCTGTCTACAAAGTTTTCGTTTCAAAAAACTTAGCTAAACTTTACGCTAACGTTCAAGAATATTCTTATCTTCTTAACTACGTCCCTCTTTCACAAATATTGTATCGTAGTTATGAATAGTAGAACTTGAAGTAGGTCAAGTAATTAACTCTTCTTGGTGTATTCAATAATTTTTGTTTTATTTTGAGTAGCCAAAAATGATTTATCTTTCATACACGTATATTTAAACTTTAATATCACACCCGCATCCTTGTACCTAAGCACAATATATTTGTGAATTAACCCCTATATTTTTTATTTCTATCCAACGTTATTTGTATCCAACCCTAACCAATAAATATACACACACCACCACTATCCACACTGTTTACAACTGTTTCTATTCTCTATATTCTTGTTTACTAGACTTTCACGCTTTCCGCTTCTTTCTCCACTTCTATTATTTTACACCTGCACTTTACCACTTTTCATTTTAGATATAACAGACACTTTATATTATTAACACTTTATTAATGTCTCCTCTATATCGAAAGGATATTAGTTATCGCATTTGTATCTAATCGTATCTTGCGTGATAACGTTCAGCATCCTCGGTATGAACCTCTTCGGGTGCAAATTCTGCAAGAAAGATGAAGAGGGCGATGTAGAGTGCGACAGAAAAAACTTTGATACTCTCTTGTGGGCCTTTGTGACGGTGTTTCAGGTATTGCACATTTTGAATTAAAGTACCTAACAGACAATCCAAAACAGACAGAACTTGCAACATTACTAAACGCTTACCTACGGGTCCGTTAGCAATAAACACTCACGGCAGACAATCTTCTTAACGAACGATTGTCCTTGTGACGGCTTATCGACTAACCACGCGAGTACACAAACAACTCGCCTTTGCTGCAAGCATTTGTCTTAATGTTAACGAACTTGACCTTTATAAAGGCTGGCTTGCAGTTTAGTGCGATTTTTAACAGACGTTCAGATGCGTAACCGCTACCCTAGTACCCGCGTAGAGAAGAATAGAACCATTGGTAACAGAATTGCTCCAAACATCATTTAGCATCACTATGTTGTGCCGTACAGTATGTTCATTAAAATTATCGACAGCACATTTAGTCTGAGAGCTTGGTTACAGTAGGGTAGATTGAGGTTGATATCGTATCGTCGCGGGGTACCCTTCGTCAAGTCTTCTAATTCCACTACTCAAATATTAATTTCTCTCACTTTGCATGCTGCTTCTATAATAATTATTAGGTCTCTTCGAAATATAGAAATCTTGATAAATTACTTTATTTATCTACTCTTTTATGTTATAGTACTGCTATTCCCTTTTACAACAATTTCATCTGTTTTAAGAATATCTGCAGTTTTTCTTATTTCAGAAAAACGTTAATTTATAATTCTTTCTCATTTATAAATATAGTTTTAATTTTCTTTAATACTAAGATTTTTTTATATTTTACAAAAATATTAATTATTTTTTCTGCATCTAAACTCATTAATGCATAAAAATGAATGATAATATAAAATAAAAATATATATAATAAATTATGAATGAATTGAATGAATATTTATGCACTTGGTTTGCCTATTTTTAATTTTTTAATTAAATTTAAATGCATATTATTATTCAAACAAGCCGAAGCAGTATACTTTTGAATGCAAAAGTATTTTGGGGAGAAATGCACTTAATAACATTGTATCAAATGCAGTATGAATTAGTTTTATTAACCAAACCATTGGTGACGGCGTACCAATGGCGATAACACTGCTTCTTAACTAATGTTTCCTTATCTGTGACGTCTGGAGTAACAACAAGTATTGTACAAGAAATTTTAACTGTCGGTATCCCAAGGAAACACTTGATACCATCTTGCCACTCCATATAAACGATGTATACCGTTGGTTAATATTTGCTTGAGAGAATCATCAGCAGGTTGCAGTGTTACCGTCGCGTACGCATCATTATATCGCCAAGGTGACCCGGTCGCGGTATGCGCATAGCATTTTGTTTTTCTTTCATTCTTTTCATCGGTACAACACGCAGTATTCTGGGCATGTATCTGTTCGGTGGTAAGTTTTGCAAGTTCGTCGAAGATAACGGGAGTGAGCGCGACTGTACCTGCCCTGAGATAATTTCGCACCATCCAAAATGTGAATGTGACAGAAAACATTTTAATAATATTCTTTGGGCTACCGTCACGGTGTTCCAGGTAAGTCTTAGAATATTTAAAAAATACATTGTCGATTTATTTTGCGATCCCGATTGATATTTGCTTTTATAGGGTAGACGGTGCGTGTTTCTCCTACAGTTATTAAAACATTTAAACAGCAATAAGAAAGTGCTATTTACTTAGAAAACTAATTCTAGTTATACTCAGACTAAATTTTAAAAACTGAGGGCGAGAAACTCACTACAGTAGCCGATTATATGAATTCTAGTTCTAAGTTTTGCATCCACAGAGCATATTGTAGTTAATGCATCTTGCTTTTAAAATAGTTATAGATATGCTGAACCCTTAAGCTTGTGTACTCCAATCGTCGTCTATGTTACCTTTCATTACAGTTGATATTATTATGTACTACACTAATACAACAACATGGATCCTTTTAACACTTAACATATTATGTAACAAGTCTATTTTTGTTTGTATTAGTTATTTTTTAACATGAATACTAACATGTTTTATACAACGTTGAGGCACAACCTTTACACGATACGACAGCACACCTCGCTTATTATTATTTATTCCGGATAATATTTCAAATTACATGTTGTGGTAGATTATTTCGTTGTGGTTGATTTAATATTTAATCATATTTAAAAATTCCAGGTTTTAACTCAGGAGGATTGGAATGTTGTTTTATTTAACGGTATGGAAAAAACGAGTCATTGGGCTGCATTGTATTTTGTGGCCTTAATGACGTTTGGAAACTATGTTTTGTTTAACTTACTAGTAGCCATTTTAGTAGAAGGATTTAGTTCAGAGGTTTGTGTTCTCTTAACGCTCATTAATTCATAAAAGAAAAATTTAAAAATACAAGAGAAAAGCCCTTTAAGTCGTTTTACTACAATTTTATAGAGAAATGAAAGAAGAGAACGAGAACAACGTGAATTGGCTAAATCTAAATTATCAAGTGAATGTTTTTCTGACAATAATGAATTACAGTACGACGAATCTAATTCAGGATCGCATTCTAGTGACAGTTTTTCACAGGTAAAAATTTAATTTTGCGTAGGATTGATCACAGCGGGCTTAAAAGTCTTTGTAGTGACTATATAAATAACTCCCTTAAATGAAATATGTATAATTTAAAGAGAACTTACTTTAGAGATACTATATGTATACATATTGTTTTTGTAGAATGAAATAAAAAACTACTGGAAATCAGCAGATGATGTTCGCAAAGTTAAAGATGATAACGGACACAAAGATAAATCCGTAAAAGTTCGCCGCAAAGCGAAATCTTCCGCACATCATCCGTCATTATGCAAAGACTGTGCACAATCAAACAAGTGTAATATTCAAAAAGTACGTATTCTACAAATATACATATGTATCTATGAACTTTAGTGTCTGATCGTTATTCCATTTCATTAACCATTTATAGTTAAATTAGTTTGTGTATCGTCATTATTTATAATTACTATGCTAAAAAATATATTAGAGTGATTTTGTTTCCAAACAAGTTTTGTATAAAATGTTTTTTATATGTATAACTTACTCATACAAGTATTAAGTACGGATTGTACTTATAAATATATTTATTAATGTCACCTCGAATATATTAACTCATGCATTTTTTTTCATATTTTGATATCTATTAAAAATACAAAATTTTATAGGAATCAAAAATGTTGGCATCAAATATAGGCACAATTGAAAATGGTAATGGAACTATTGTCCCAAAAATAACTCATACAGCGGCTACACCTCAAGATTCACCATCCACAACCCTGGAGCCTGGTGCAACGTTCAGAGATTTTAACGTAGCCTTAACATTAGAAAGATCGACCATGCTATCTAGTTTAGACTCCATAGATAGAACATCGGTATATATAATTTATTTAGGGACTTACATTGTCATGTATGTAATAATATGATATTTGTTATATAAATCACCTAATTCTTTCAGTGCACGAGTATACCAGGATTACTGAAACCTCCGAACAGTTATACACTTACACTTCATTCAGCAGCGGCTCAGTTAGGCGCTGAGAAAGCTAGGCTCCCACCACCAATGACTCTTGCTCCACCACCCTTAACTCTTGCACCTCCTCCATCCAGATCTTCCTCACCTGGATCTGTAACGCCAACTACTCCTAGATCATTACCATCCCCTATGATACCAGAAAAAAATTTTCAAGTTACTATAGCCAAGGACGAAAATTGTCTCAATGTTAGTGATAAATCTAGTTTATTGAGTTCACAAAAGTAAGTAATTATTATTCTGAACGATGATTTTATTCTTTTAAATATACATATATTATCTCGATTTGCTATTTATTTTGATTTTCTAAATAATTTTCGAAGAAGTCTCACCATAACGACACCAAATATAGTCGGCGATGATAAATGTAGAGTGCAAAGAGGATACAGTTGGCGTCTGTCTCGACCAAGCTTGAGGCGCAAAAAGCAACGAACAGGCTCTGACTCTGACGCTGTAGTCCTTAATAATGGACGTGATCATATTGCATGTAACGGTATGTTAAAATATTTATTAGAAACGTGTTTAGCTTTAGCAGTTTTCGTATAAAAACCAAACATACATTATTATCAATGAAAACAACAAAAGGTTTGAGTAAATTTTAGTCCAACCAATGAAGCCTAGCAATATTTTCAGGATCTAATCTTAGAAAAAATGAGCTGTTGCTGTCTTCAACTATAGTTATTAAAAATGATACCCAATCAGAGATCAACAACAGACCAAAAACACAGTTACCTGCTCCTAGAGTGCTACCTACGCAAGCAAGACGTGTTTCTGCACATACAACTCCAATTTTACCAGATGTAAGTATTATGAATTAGACTTACCGTCATAAAAGACACCCTACATTTATATTTCTGTATTTAATTTCAAGGTATCTTGGAAAGCACCTGAAGTAGGAGCAGGATTTTCAACTGATTCGACAGTAAGATTAGATGCTGTAAAATCTCCACATCATAGACTTTCTTTGACAAATGACTACCTTACGGGTAAGAAAAAGCAATTGTCTAGAGTATAAAATTATGATTCCTTTTAAAAGTTATCATATAAGTAAAATTTGTTTGTAGTGACATCAGGTTCAGAAATCAAGGCAAGCAATTTGGCACCAGCAGTTGCTCCAAATGCACAAATACAGTCAAGGAATGAACCTGTACGAACGAGCACTCAAGCCTTACCTCTCATTAAACAAATTAACGAGGAGGTACATAATTAGGAAAATAAATCTGTCTACATATTATTTCCAAAAACAATGTTGCATACATTCAATTAAACAACAATTTACAACACCACGGAATGTATAGTAAACGTTCTAGATAATAATTCAAATACGACTCAATGATGAATTTCGTCCCGTTAGAAGTGTTGTAGCATTAATTAAGTTTGAGATCTTTATCTGTCTTTACAATAAAATAGGAGAAAAAGAGCTTTATAGTATAGTGAACTGAAATAATTATGTTACGAAAAGGAAAACTTTGAGTATTTTTCATAGAAATATATTATTTTTAGGTGGCGATTAACAATAGTGTCTGCATATTTTCGTCTCGATTTGACAGGCGACGATTTCATTTTAAAGATCTTTTTCGATTTATGGAACCAACGGGATGTCTCAAGGAAAAAGAGGATTATTCTTTATACATATTTGCCCCCGATAACAAGTAAGGAATAAAGCACAAAGTTTATTGAATTATTTACTTTACTCGATGTTCACGCGTACTGAGACGTAAAATAAATATTAGGCGTCGTATCATGGTTGTATCCAATACATATTCCACCTTTACTTACGCCTTTGATATACTTCAAGTCTCGCAGTCTGTGTGGAATTCCAATTACGTGTCAGAGGAGATTGCAAATTCTGTGATAGGATATATTGCTATTTTCCTTATTAGACGAACATTAAATATCGATTCATTATTTTTAAATATACCTTTTTCTATTTTAATAATACTATTTTTACAGAATTAGAACACTTTGCACGTGGATGGTAACAAGAAGTGCGTTTGATAATATAGTTTTACTATTCATAGCGCTGAATTGTATCACTTTAGCTATGGAGCGTCCAAACATTCCCCCTGACTCTAAAGAAAGGGCTTTCTTGTCTAGCGCTAATTACGTCTTTACAGTCGTCTTCGCTGTTGAAATGTTTATTAAGGTATCTTTATGACTACTTTCTTTAACCTTTGGTATTTTAAAAAAATATTTTATAATAAAACGTTTAGAAGTAAGCAATATTTTAAAGAAGATATCTGTAATATTTTAAAGATTATTTAGACAAAATATGTTACCAAATAAAAGAAATTTATCGTAGGTTGTCGCATCTGGAATGTTTTATGGGTCTGAGGCCTATTTTACTTCTGGTTGGAATATCATGGATGGTTCTCTGGTCATTATTTCTATAATTGATCTTTTAATGTCATTGGTGTCCGAGTCTAGTCCACGAATTTTTGGAATTCTTAGGGTACGTATGTATATATTGAAGTGAAGCATTAAAAAATCTATTAATATACGATGTAATCTATTCTACTATATATATTTCTAGTGATCCCTCCCAGTTGGTAACTTAAAAAATAATTTATCTTTATATTCCAGGTATTTAGATTGTTGAGATCTTTAAGACCCTTGAGAGTAATTAATAGGGCCCCAGGATTAAAGCTCGTCGTTCAAACATTGTTATCATCACTTAGACCGATTGGAAATATAGTTTTAATATGTTGCACGTTTTTCATTATATTTGGCATTTTAGGAGTTCAGGTAAAGAAAACAATTTTTTATGAAAATATTTATATTTCAAATTTCAAATCATTTCTTAATTCCATTTATTTTAGCTCTTTAAAGGTGCATTTTTCTACTGTGAAGGAGCAAGTATCAAAAATGTTAAAAATAAATCTGATTGTCTAGCTATTGAGGGTAATGTTTGGGTAAACAGGAAATACAACTTTGATGATCTGGGTAAAGCTTTGATGTCATTGTTCGTGCTTAGCTCAAGAGATGGTTGGGTAAATATCATGTACACAGGTCTTGACGCTGTAGGTGTTGATCAACAGGTAAGGAAATGAAACCAAAATTTTTGTCTTCAAATTTCAAACTAAAAGTATATTTTTTTCTTTTGTAACGTACTTTATAAGTTACTTCCTATTAAAGATTTTCTTTTTCAGCCCATTGTTAACTACTCAGAATGGAGACTTTTATACTTCATTGCATTTATACTATTAGTTGGATTCTTCGTACTAAATATGTTCGTGGGAGTCGTGGTAGAAAACTTTCACCGATGTAGAGAGGAACAAGAAAAAGAAGAACGAGTCAGGCGGGCTGCTAAGAGGGCGCTGCAAATGGAAAAAAAGAGACGAAGTAATAAAAAATATAAATAATAATAAGATTATTACTGACTATAATAATAATCAATTGAGATTTATTGACACTGTATTTCTAATCTAAATATTAATTTACAGAAATGCATCAACGTCCATACTATGCAGACTACTCACAATACCGTCTTTTCGTACATAATGTAGTCACATCAAAATATTTTGATCTGGCAATAGCCGGTGTCATCGGTTTAAATGTTGTGACTATGGCTATTGAATACTATAGAATGCCACCAGCGCTACAATATGCACTTAAAATATTTAACTATTTTTTCACTGCTGTATTTATACTTGAAGCGGTTATGAAACTTGTGGCATTGGGTTTCAAAATTTATCTAAAAGACAAATGGAATCAATTAGATGTTATAATTGTAATACTATCCATAGTAGGAATAGTTCTAGAAGAATTAGAGACTAACATTATTCCAATAAATCCGACAATAATGAGAGTAATGAGAGTGTTAAGAATTGCAAGAGTATTAAAATTACTAAAAATGGCAAAAGGTATACGGGCATTATTAGATACGGTAATGCAAGCTTTACCTCAAGTTGGAAACTTAGGACTTCTATTTTTTCTTCTGTTCTTTATATTTGCGGCATTAGGTGTTGAGTTATTCGGTAGACTTGAATGTAGTGATGAAATTCCTTGTCAAGGTATATGTTATACAATATGCAATATATTATCTTTAATGAATGTGCTATGTAATTAATCAATATATTCTAGGTCTCGGTGAACATGCTCATTTTGCAAACTTTGGCATGGCATTCCTTACACTATTTCGTGTTGCGACTGGAGATAATTGGAATGGCATAATGAAGGATACTTTACGAGAAGATTGTGATAGTTCCGTAGATTGTGTACGGAACTGTTGTGTTTCAACTATTATTGCACCGATATTTTTCGTTGTATTCGTACTTATGGCACAATTTGTACTCGTCAATGTAGTAGTTGCTGTAAGTTTAATCTGTTACTATATATTTTTTATTAAACCTTAATCGAAAAATAATTCATAACAATTTAAATTCTTAGGTCCTCATGAAACACCTTGAGGAATCTCATAAACAAATGGAGGACGAAATTGATATGGACGTCGAACTAGAACGTGAATTAGAAAGAGAAGCGGATGATGAGGAAGATAGAGCTCTTTGTCGAGCTTTGGAAGAATGTGTTTCTCCGCCACGACCTTTAAACAAGGTACCATCACTACCAGCAAATTTCACTTACAGCGAACCCAAACAACAACCGATACCTTCACCTGCACGCAGACGTCGCACTTTACATTCCCATCATGCTTTGTTGCCGGCCGCTTTGCCTCAAAGACGAGCCTCTCTGTCACCTCATGCATTTGGACGACGTCGACAGGATTCAACTCCAGAAACACCATACCCACCAGCGCTCTACGAAGAAGAGGCACGATTTATAGATGCCGACGACATTGATGAATTAGAACCTGGTAGCCCACCACGACATGATTCCTTTTCCCAAAATCGAAGACAAAGAGTTGATAAAAGAAATTCTCTACGAGGTGAAGAGGCTAGACTACTTCGACCTGCGCCTATTTTGTTAGCGGTTCCTACAACAAGGCAAAGTCTTAGACGAAATAGTTCAAAAAGAAGATCTTCTGCAGAATCTGGAGCTACAAGCAGATTAAGTCAAATGTCAGTACAAACACCATCTTCTCCGGAAGATAATAATAAACAAATTACCGAAGAAGAAAAAATTAGAATCGTTATAGCTGAACGAAGAAAAATAGATAATATAAAACCAGAACCGGAAGATGTGGAACTATCAGAAAGAGCTTCCTAGTCCAGGCGGGGCCGGCCGCTACAACACCATGAAGTGTATATATAGATCACACAATGTGATCTATTTCCAATCCTTCCCATACCTACCTTCCAGACTAAAATGGGTGTGCTACGAAAAGTGAAAAGTTTGAACTCGGTGTATACCAGTGAATGTATATAAGTATATACATAAGTGATTTGTGTCTTCAAGTTACTATATTTCAACATCTCTCCATGACCGAATGAATGATTGTATCCATGATCTGTTTGTGACATTTACCTTTTCTATTTCCCTACAAACCTTTTGTTTTCCACCGCGGCCGGTTCGATTTCAAAAAACATAAAAGAGACTTCTTTACATTTAAGATTTATTTTAGATTATTTAGATAGTTGTTAGAACTAGTCAATTAGTGGTGGTGGGATGTTTTCTACGAGTGCTAAGGTTTTCTTCATGTGTTTAGATAATCTCTTTGTACGGTGCTTGCTGTTAAGATTTTGTTTGTTGTATGTAAAATTCACTTTGTAAAAGTTTACGTCAACCTCAACGAATAATACGATTCTATTTTATATATTGTTTCTGTTAATGTTTCTTGATTGTTTAGATATCAATACGGATGTTAGATTTAATTTACATTTTAAGTACGGGTTTCGAATCATTGAATTTAGATTATCATAAGTCAACGATTTGAAAAGCCTATTATAAATTGTTTCATTGTTTAAATTAGTTTGTATGTACTCCTAGTAACGAACTGCTTAGACTCGTAGCGAACTTTTTCTAGGTAGATCTATGTCAATCTTTAATATAAAAACGGAACCAAAAGTTGGTGAATTGAGTATTATCTTTTAAGACAAAAACAATATTTTCTGTAAAAAAATAAATCCTATTTTCATACAAAATCATGTACTTATTTAGAAACTTAACTGGCGATGCGCACATCTTAGAAAGTAGTTTACAACTAAATTACTGAATCCAACTTTCACGAATAGACTTCAAGTATTAAAAAATATAAACTAGTGGTCTGAATAATAGATATGATTTAGATTAATATTGTTCATTAGCGTTTTAATTTAATGCGGTGCCAAATTTACATTATTCATTAACAAATTTCATTCATAAATTAATAGTTTCTACTGATTTCCCATATCTCTTATTTGATGACCACGATATCTAGTGTTGAAACTTTTTTAACGAAATGCCAGTGGTTTTTCTTAATATATAATTTATGATTATGTAGTTCTTATAATAAAGACGAAACTAGTTAGGGAAGTCAGCAATAAATTTTATACTTCAACTGTGCCTTTCCTATTCTATATATTAGCTTGAGAAATCGATGAAAAACAGACTCTGTATGTGTTAGGAGTTACATCATGTAATATTTTATAATTACTTCAAACTTAATTCTGGTACACCACTTCATCATCTCTGTTACAAAATTGTTTTCTTCTTAACATAATTACCTATTTATAAAATATTTCTAATATTGATGTCATTCGTTTTTCGATGGAACTTTATTATTCTGTCCCTATCCATCAAGATTCTAATTTATTTACCTTAATTTAATCATTACGTCTTCCATCATCACGTATTATCATTTCTTGGTGTTAACAAAATAGAAAATTTTTCTTTTTCATATCAAAAAAAGTAAAATATCATATAAAATGAATTGATTAAATGGAATTTAGTAGTGTTAAGAATAGTTATTTCGTGATAAAAGCAAATTTCGTGATAAAAACTTTAATTGTTTTTCGGTACCGACTGTGTAATAATTTTAAGATGTATGAACAATGTTCATTAGATAACACCTGTTAAATTTAGCTGGTGGTCTGTCGAATTATGAAAGTTACGAAATGTTAGGTTGAAAAATAAATATAAAAATTCATCTGTGTTTTACTTCTCCTATACCATTATTTATAAGTATCTACTAATACTTTGAAAGTCGAGTAAATAGCCAGAATCCATCTTTTTGTACCCATGATTATAAAGTTATTCTAGTAATTTGACAGAGTAAATTGGTATTTTGTAAATTACGAAACAATATCAGTTCCATAAACCCAAGAGACAAGGTAATTGAATTTGGCTACAATCTGCGTGTCACGTCAGAGAGACCTCGTAACATTTACATAATTTCTTGTTGTTTTGAACCATTGTATGATAATATAAAGTAATTTGAAGATTATTAAAAAAAAATCAGTTTACAAAAACACGTAATAAAATGCTATTCTCGTTTATATTAATACTGTGTGATCTGATTGACTGCTATACAGGGTGACTGGTGAATTACTATCAATATTTAAGGAGCATACTCAGTACATGATTCTCATTCGAATTATGTAACAAAAATAGGTACTTAATTTTTGACCAAATTTCCGTATAAATAAATAAAGTGTGTACACGTTCCAAGTGTTCCAAGTGTGGACGCGTGCGGCCGCGTGCTGATACAACAACACGCCGCCGCGCGCGAGTGTGTGTGTGTGTGTGTGTGTATACCTAATCTGTAGGGTGTTCATACGATGCGTAATTAATTAGATAACTTTTGGTTAACTTTACTTAGAAGTTTATTAATATTTATGTTATATTAATTTTTATTTTGTCATATATGATCGTCAAATATCACGTCCTCAAATATCGATAGTAATTCACCAGTCACCCTGTATAAAGTTTTATTCGGTATTTATAATTTCAGTTATTTTATAATAAATGTTCACACATTAAGTTTCCTTACAAAATAAAAGTTGGAAATAAATTTTAAAATTGAGAAGAAGCAGTCTCTAAATTGCGACAACTATTTTTATACGTAATTTGTTCTGTTGTCAGACAGTTCGGAGCCATCCTCGCCTTGACCCACAAACAAGTCTAAACTTCGTCCGGAACGCTTCTGGCTATTGGTTTCCAACCTCATATATTTTATCTTTATAGGGACAGTGAATGGCTGTTCCGCATTGAGGTGCCCTTCATTTTAAACAAACAAACAAACTAAGAGATAGGCTTAGTATATGAAAACTATCAGGGGTTAAAATTATCACTTATACATTTTAATGCTCCCTCAACATAAAACTTAATTACAGTCTGTAATATATTTAGTATACAAAACATTTAATAATGTAATACAAAATTGTTTTGATAATAAATGATAAAAGAATATGAATACATTTCTCCCTTCAATTTTTTAATGAGAAACAAATATAACAATTGAATAACATTTCCTAGGATTAATTAAAAGTTATATCTTTAGTTTCGCTAACATAAAACGTTCAAATTCACCACTTCTGAACCAGTTTCAAAGAGATACTCAAAGTAAACTTTATTTTGAACTATAAAACAAAAACTCATTTCTAAAAATACTCAGTAAAATTGTAGTTCATTTACAAAGGACAGACACCGGAAATAAGAAAAACAAAAGGGAATACCAAAGCGAATTTTGGGGAGAAATGTTTTATCTCTTGTTTTTTATCTTTCTAGTCATCGCCTCTTTTTGTTCATTGAAATAGACTACAATTGCTTACTGATTAGTAACATGTTTAAGGTTAAATGCAAAACTACTACAAATTACAATATAACGTTATTGAAACATCATTTTCTATGTTCTATTTTTTTTAAATAATGTTTGTCGAAAAACTTGAAATCGATTCCTAACAGATGGTTATAGTGCCGTAATACCTATGATCCCTATTACATCGAAGTTTAGTAGTAGATATCCCAGATCTTTCCATTAACGCGGCGGTGATTACGACTGTCCCATCTGAAAAGGGTCCAGACATGACCGTATTATAGCTCATCTATACCTCAATTTGCTGTTTACGAGCGGTTATTTTGATACTGCTTCGATTCTATTTCATAGAAAAATTGTGTAATATAGAAAATATACACGAAATAACGTGTTTAAATATTGCCATTATTACAAATATTATTAATTATATTATGCATATTAAATTGAAAATTCTCTTTCAATAATCAACAGCCTTAAACGTAGCGTGTAGCGAGTATCTTTCGGTAATTATTATTATACATAAAGCCACAGGATACTGATATAAATTATACTACAGTTTGTAGTAAGCAATTATCTCAAACAAGGAAGGTCCAGTTCTTAAGTACGGTAACGAACTACAACGAGAGATAATAAATAATTGCCAAAACTTAGTTTATTTTAAAGCGGTCTTGTTTAAAGTTACTTGAATTTAGTACTAACTACAATATTTGTTGAACAAATAGATACATATTATTTTTTTGCAAAATATATAATAATAATAAATAAATTTATGAACACGAATTTAGTCATTCTCTCAATTTTTGACGTAGATAATTAATTTAGAAATTTTATTAAACTTTAAGTTTTTTTTATATTTCTTTTCTTAATCTAAAATAATCGGATAGTAATTTTAAATCACCGTTACAATATGGGTATCAAATTAAATGGCTTGCTGGGTATATCTCTGAAAAATCTTAGTTAAAACCATAAAACATTATAAAAGCGAAATATTATTTGAAATACGGTTTCATAATGCACCTAAAAGTAATTAAACAATATTTATCTACAACTTTTACTATCAAGTGGAAACGTTATTATAGAATATATATAATATAAAGTTTTTTGAAAAAAATTTGCTAATACTGGAATAATTTGATATAAAATCAATCCTTGCATTTATTTACTTCTTATTTATAACTTTTGTATTATGACTTATATTATAAGGAAGTAAACTCACTATCCCAATAATAGCCTATTCATTTTTTCCTTTAAAATATCCAAATTGTAAGTTGAAGAACACTTAGGTTCAGACATACTGTTCCAAGTTATTGCTATCGGAAAGAGGAAACGAATAGGTTCATCAGGATGGGAGGGAGGTCTTTATTGAAAATAATGGTCATCCACCGTGCAGAATGTTCATCTGATATCAAGAAGTTTAGAGTAAAAATAAAAAGCTTTATACCATTGAAATCCTCACGTCAACATGATAATGATTTGTAGTCTTCTTCTTTAAAATTTACAAAATATATTTGAATATAACTCCTCGATTTAAATA